GGCCACAATTCCATTTTGCTCCATGTTTCTTGAACTTTCAAGAAAAGTTCTACAGTAACGAATGTGTAAATAACTCTTATGTGTTATTTGCATAACAGTAAAACCAAAGTCTATGATTGTGCATAATCTTTCCATGTGGCAACATGTAAAGATCTTGGCAAAGAACCCTTCAGATCACCCTCAGTAGCTGGGACATCATCAGATTCAAACCCGTCAAAATATACAAGTCACTGTACTTTCCACGAGCCAAATAGGAACCAAACCAAGGTGGATAAGCAGTAATATAGTTTTCCATGAGACCCATTAAAATCCCATTATTGACAGCATCTTTGGCTGCACTTAAATCAAGAAGTAGAAGAACATTAAGTGTCCCACATTTGGAAACCATTAGCAGGAGGTAATGCTCTCCTAGCTAGCTATTCTGTTTGTGGTATCAGTTTTGTGCTGTGGTGAAATAAGGAAGCCCTTCAAAACTGTTTTATGGCTCACAGCAGTGTAATATTCATATTTGTTTTTCAAAACCAAAAGTGAAGGATTATTTTTCATTGCAGTTAAAAGTATCAAATATTTTTCAGGCTATATTGAACTATAGGCTATATATATACATATTGGATTAAGATAAATTGGGCAGCAGATTTTAGTTTATAGCAAATACATCTTCCAACTTTACTGTTGTGTATAATATTACTGCTAAGTGAAGGTTTTCTGAATATTGTAAAGCCTGAACAGTTACGCAACACGGACTGCTCTGCTGTTAAGTTCCGGAGTCTTTGCAGTAGAATGCTACTGGGATTATCATTTGCGTTATACTGTATTGCTGTTTACATGGAAAACAAATGTTTTGGTCTGCTGAAGTCACTTGCCTTATGTAATCTTGCAAATGTTGCATCATTTGAAGACTGGACTGCACTCCTAGGTTTTGAGGTAGTGTGCACGACACTTGGTCTGTTTTTATGTGCATGTCTGACTTTCTTGCAACATTTGTATCATGTGTCACAAAATGTGAAGATGAGGCTGTAATTGGTAAATCCTGTCTTGATTACTGTAGAGTAGGAAAATAGTGTGTATGTGTATTCAGGGTGGAACTGAAAACCTTCCCAATATGATTTTGAATTAAAAAGTGCTGAAACTGAAACTTTGAGGGTGTGTGGCATATATATTAAGATAGTAGTTCAGGTGGGTAGCTGCGTCAGCATGCGTAGGCTGCAAAGGAACAAGTAATAGGTTTATTCCATGCTGAAAAAAAGAAGAAAGAGAACACAATTCGGCCGTGGAGCCTTCTTCAGGTGTCAAGAAGGCTCCACGGCCGAAACGTTGTGTTCTCTTTCTTCTTTTTTTCAGCATGGAATAAACCTATTACTTGTTCCCTTATATATTAAGATGTACATCCTTCTGCTCTTTTTTCAGAACCTTAAGCTTCAAGTTGTAAGGTTTTCCTTTAATTACATTTGTAAAAACAAAAGCTTTGACTCCCTCACACATGATTTCAGTTAGTTTCTCTCTTGGCATAAGGATCTCATTATCCCTTTGAAGTCCACTTTTTCCATGTCATATTTATTTCAGCTTTGTTCAAAACAAGTCAACAATCCAAAGTTGTCCAGTTTAGCTGACAGCTTTTAAAATGATAAGCTGAAAATATCCTGATAATCCTTCCACACCAAGTGAATATAGTGCTTCAGTCCATTTTTAATGACTTACTGCCAGTGTTAAGTTTCACAAATCACTGTGTCAGTACAGTGATGGAAGAACTCAAAGGAAAAGTGGTGTTGGTGGACCAGAAGGTAGCACTCTTTTCTCTGGACCAGAATTTCCAAGTCAATGCCCCACTAAGATGCTTGGGGACACAGTATTGAAGGAGTTTCTTGAGATCCCTCATATTAAAAGAGGGTCCTGGCTAATTGGTTATTGAAGATCCCATGGCAGTGTTCACAAGACATGGGCTGTCAACTTCCATGTCCTGCCAACTCTGGCCTTTGTCAGTAAGCCAAATTCCCACTTAATTCAGATGTTGAAGTCATTTCTCACTTGTCAAACTGATCTACTGTGTAATTGGGCTGCCCTGCATTTCCACATTGGGTGCTACTGTAGATTGGGAGGGTCCTCTTCTGCATGTAAAGTGATTGAGGATCATTTGGGATGCAAAACACTTTATAAAAGCAAGTATTCTTTTTTTCCCCACCCTGTTTTTTATTAGTTCAGAGAAAAAATAATTGTAGGTGTTTTTAAATGTCTGCTTTTGCTTCACTTTGTATTTGTTGCAAAGAAATGTGTTTTTGGACTTTAAGAAACCATAACATTAAAGCATAACATATAGAAACCATTACATTAAAGTACAAAGTTATCAGACATCAGCTATTGGTGGGGAGGAGAAAAAGAGTAATAAAGTAATAAAATGTCTAAAACCACCCCTTGTAGGACACAAACGTTTAGTGCTTGACATGTTCTCTCAACTGGAAGAACGAATCATTAAAAGGACTCCACGAACAAGCCTCACTCTCCTCCAGTGAAGAATGATCACTCCTGATTCCCTTGTTTTGCTTAATCAATTTGTGTACTGGTTATGGGGCATGAGGAAATACTTTGGGCGGGTGTATGGGATGCATCAGAATAAGAGAACTGTTTGAAGTACTGTGGGTAACTAACATACTTTCCGGGAAATTTTCATTGAATCAAATGTGAGGAAAATGATCACAAAATACAAATGCATGTACAGGTTTTAGGAATTAGAGAAGAGTTTGGCTGCGAGTTCTTGTTCTTACTTTCCAGTAAAGCTGAGATCCTTTGTGTATTCCAAATGGCCAGTCAGCATCGCCTTCATCACGTCTCATATTGGACGCTGTCAGAAATTCTTTGCTGTCAAACTAGCTTTTACTGTCAGAAGCCGTCCTTCAGTGCACACAGTGTGTTTCCTGGAATCTCTTTACAAGAGCATGTGTTCTTGTACTGTAAATGATCCAAAATGACTTTCAGAATGTGTTCATGTCCTTTCAAAAGCTGATGGCCATTATCCTGCACAGCAAAAAAGATTACTAGTTTAAACTTGCTGAAGATGTGTTCTGTAAAAATTGAAAAAAATATCCACCAGACTCAGCATGTTTCCCTAATTCATTTTGGCATTTGATTTTAACGATGGAACATGAAGATTTGAATTTGCACCATTGAAATGTTCATACCACTTTGAGGATCATTGATCAGTTTGTTAAATTGTCTTACAGTACATTGCACCATAAATCTGTTTTACACTGTATGTGTGCTCAGGCTCTCTTAATGGGCGAAATGGCCATTTGATGTCTTGCACCAGTGATGTACAGTAAATGCACAATTCCAGAACAAAATAAAAACCACATTTTAACAGAATATTGAACTTTGTGAATAAAGTTGGCCCTAGCCGTTAGGATAGTATTACAGTCTGAACTTGGAAGAACACTGTAACAGGATTAAGTTTACATAGATTTATTCTAATCTACTAAGACACTAGGATACAAGCACACCTAATGGTTAACATTTGGAGTAATTTGCCAAGCTATGCCAGCTGATAAGGTTACAAGAGCCAGATGTACATATGGATTACAGAAACTCAAAGTCAATAATAGAGGCACTTCATATCGGTAATGGAAAAATATTACATCAAATATCACAACCTAGACAAAACATTTCTTCATATTTCTCTCCATTCAAGTGTTAAGCATGTCCTGAGCACTGCTGCAAATAATTTTCTCAATCATGCACTCATTTGTTTTGTACTAGTGGAATTCCAGTCCAGATTTTTCAGTTTACTTAAATGCAGACTGGAGCCTGGTATGGCTTTGTTTCTTATTCAGAAGAACACCATCTGATCGGTTTGTCTGCTGTGACAAACTGGGTTTTTACACCCCCTGATGCAAGCTGCCCTTTTGTTTGTTTTTTTGCCTTCATCACTCTCCAATATCGCAGATGTACTCTCAATTTAAGATGTTAGGCATTTCTATAGACGAATCAATCTTATTTTTCCTCTGTTAGAAGCCTAGGAAGACAGGTTACTTTCTCAGACAGCCTAACCCCGATATATACTGAGACTTCACAATTCTCAAAATACTTTATAAATGAGTGTCCCACTGTTACTTTCTTACTTAAGTGCCAAAATAATGCTACGTTTGAAGTTTATAAAACGGAAGAGTCGTTGTTGGAATCACTGTTGTATACCATGGCAACCATGGGTATATTACTCTTCTGTATCCTCACCCCAACAGTATCAACTGTATTCCTGAAACCACTCCCCAAACAATAGCCATATATACAGGTACAGTACATGTGCATAAAACGTAAACTGTATAATGAAGTTAATTACCTGTGCTTTTCCTTGCATGTGCTTACAAATGTGGAGATTTTGAACGTAAAAATAGTATCAAAAGGGCCCCAGTCTCAATTTCTGATGCATGAGATTTATTTTCCAATTTTCCAGTTAAGAACTGGTTTGGGTTTGTGTAGTTTAAGTGAGGGAAAAAAAAGTGGTGCTGGCCTTTATAATTGTACTCTGTCTTTTATCATTTTTAGCTATTTCTTTGAAACCACTTTTCTAATGTGGACACATTTTATAGGCTCTAAAGTGATAGTGGAATAGAGACGAGTACTGTAGGCTTTGTTGTCCAAAAGTCGGGAAATGGTTAAAGAGTAATTCATTTTACAAGGAACACAGTGATTTAATTAAATCACAAAGTTATTTTTTCCTGTGTCTCATTAATGCCTTTAGGGAGAATTTTCCAACAGAATTTATTCAGGAATCTTATCTTTCAGTATTGCTTATACCATCCTGTAATTTAATTGTAAAGAAATTATTGAACTGGAACTTTCAAAACAGGTGCTTCGGACTTCTACAAACAACGTAAAAGCTGTATGTGAGCTCTGAACTAAAAGGAAATGTTCATAGTGTTTTGTTACAATGTGACTGGTTCATGTCATTTCCTGTATAAATAAATCTTTCAGTTAAAAGAAGCTTGAAAAGATCTTCTGTTTGTCCGTAGGTCCCACATTGCCAAGACAGAACCCTCAGTTGTCCCCTCAAGTTCAAAATGGGCCGTCACAGGAGGAGCTGGAAATTCAAAGAAGGTAAGCTCCAAGTTCGAAAATCCCCAGGATCAGAGTTAATCAGGATCAGAGTTAAATTCACATGAACATTGACATGATCTAAAATTGTTGGTATCCCTAAACTTGGCTTTGATTTATGTATGCTGACTGACTTTAGAAAAGTGATTATGTAGTGAACCTGTACTGTACTTAAACACCTCTCAGGAATTTTGAATGTCATTTCATGAATTTCTGATGGCAGTTTTAGAAAATAACCTGCAAATGAGATTTTGTAATGCTATGTGACACCCATGAGTGTGTAATATTATTGGGAGCCATACAGTGCTCCTAGTCATCGGTTAATGTTATTGATGAATATTTATGGATTCTTTTCCCAGTCAAGTATAGACTCCAAGAAAACTACTTGAGACCATATGGTACATTTTTGTATATTCTTTCATTTTTAGAGCAAGAAGTAGTTGATGACTGCTTTTTTCTATAGGGGATTGCGTGTCGTGTCTTCTGTGCTCGTATGGGGATTGTAGTACTGAGGCATATTGATAATTGGCAGTTCTAAAATGAACATTGATTCCAATATTTTTAATATAATAATGACATACCTATCCTTATCTAATAGATTATGCGGCTATGAGGCTAAATCTTCAGTTCAACCAGGCTTATGACACCAGTAAAGAAAAACAGTCTGATTTATTGTTTTTAATTAGCTCTTCCTCTTACGTTTTACAATACAGTGAGGCATTTCACAGGACATTTTTCAAAAGCTGTTTTGTATCCTTGAACAAGACTTCTTTTAATTTCGAGTCGTATTTAAATCAGAAAATATGAAAATGACAGGGTGCCTTTTGCAGAGTACAAGGTTATGTTCAGGGTCTTTAGGCTGATTTTGCTCTTACCGTCTGCAACGTACAGGATGCATCATTGCAATTTAAATGGTGGAATTATTCTAATTTTGTCTGCCTGAGATCTCAGGAGACCAGAAGATAAAATGTACTGTGCATCTTGAGAGGTTACTGGTACTGATAAGATTGATTAGGGCACTGAATTACATGCCTCTTTTAAAGTGCTATTCTACATTTCACTATAGTAATTTGTGTGATTAGCACATTCCATGGCTTTGTGAATTTTTTAGCATTTATATTACGCTAATGATAGTTCACTGCTGTCCTTGTCACAATGCCATATTATTCTTAATCAAGCACAAATACAACTCAGTCCTTCCACCTTGCTATATGTCCTGTCTCTGTGAATAGAAAAATGGTGGAATTTGAGAATTTCCTGCAATTGATTTCATGTTCACTTAGGTTCAAGCATGTTGCAACGCCCCATCACTTAGTAAAGTTCAGTTCAGTAAATTTGACCTGTAGTCAAATTGGGTCTGTCAGATCCAAACACAGAATCCCAAATTGTAATTTATTTAAGCATAAAAATGTGCCTATATAAAAGTGAAACATTGCAGTCTTCGAAAGTGTGTTTTATTATCTTTGTTTAATGATAAAGTGACTATTAAGATACATAACGCAGGCTACCAGATTCTTCCGCCCCCTGGTGTCTAGTTGAACCTGGAAGTATATTTTTGGGTACGGTGGCATACGTTCCCTATATTGGTACTGCTTATAGCTCCTTACTGCAGCAAAGTGAGCTGAACAGCAAAGAGAGCAGGGAACCAGCCACCTGTAGGAGTTTGGATAGTCCTTCAGGCCTTGATCAGATATGAGAAAGCAGTGACTAATGCGATTAATTCCTGTCTCTTTAATTTATTGTTCAGAACATGAAATTAAAAACCAGCATTTAAATCACTAATGATCTTTCTGGAAAGGTTTGTAAAGGACACGCCAATCAGAAAGAAAACAAAACGCCATTTCTGGAGGTATCTGTTGTGTGTAGTTGCAGCATTTTCTATTAATGTTCCAGTGACGAGTGACCTTTTAATCCAACAGACACTTATTATATGAGTAGAGCAACGGTTCCATATGTTGAGCTCCAAATTAGGTGCAATAGTTTCAATTAAATAAATTTGTAACTGAAATTACATCCTGTAGTGGTGTGACTGACCTTTCTGATTAGTTATAATTTGAACTGTGGTTCAATACACTACCCATTTAAGTGTGTCATGGTTCCCATTAGACTAATATGTGAATGCTTTTTGACTGTCAACTGAATTATGGTGCAGCAACATTTTTTATTCATTGCTGCACATGAACATTGATCTACATGCAAAGAAGTTCATAAGGTGAATCTTATTAATTAAAACTGAAAGAGGAGGGGTCTTGGGCCTGCTACATAGCTCGGTCAGTAAAAATGCAAAACACAGTTTGAACCTCCTGATTTCTATGTCACTAATTTAAGTCTGTTGGTCATTTTTGACTGGGTTAGTTAGTTCGGATTTAGACAGTGAGGGTCATGCATGAAAACAGAAATTGAGTGGGTAACTTGTAGCTAATTGATTCGAAGTTCTCTTTCTGACATTTCTTTAAAAAAGCAATATCACCTTTGGCAACATTGCTGGGAAGCATTTGGTGGAGTTTTTATTCCATAACCCTTTGCATAAAAAGAGTTGCATTCTAATTTTTAATAACACATCCCTCTAGTTTCCACTTGAGTCCTTTGGTTTGTTTTTCACCGATTCTGAAGAAGGCTTGAGTTTCTTGGCACCTTTGAGGATTTTGAAGACAGTGCTTGAATCAGGTGCTCTCATAGTCTTAACTTTTTTGAAGACTAAAAAAAAGTTTAACATCAGCGAAGGATATTCCTTTAACACCAGAAAATAATCTGTTTTTTCTTCTTTGGACTGCAGAACAGCAACATCTATTTTGTATTGGCGTGAGTAAAGTCATACCCAATTCTCTGAAAGAGGTCGTACTAACACAGTTTTAATATAAAATTCCTTGTTTTCAATATTTAATGCTATTCTTGTTATTCTGTATAATATTTTGTTTCCTCACATTATCAAGATCATGATGTATTTTCTTTTTCATGAGCAGCTTCTTCAAGCTCACTGTTTGCCATTTTATATTTTTAACTTGTTTTCAAGTACACTCTACACTCTCATGTTACACTCTACACTCATCTGCATTTAGCAGTGTTAGAGGTTTTCTCTGCTATTTGCTTTTCCAGCGTTTCCAATTACACCTGTTATCATTCTACTAAACATGACTAGTTTGGTAATTATACTAAAATCTAAATCATTGAGAAAAAAATCTGGGAGTTTCAGTTCAAATCCCTGTGGGATTCTTTTAGTCATTTCACCACCATTTTGATCATTTGATCTCTTAGTACACTGTTTTTAATCCATTAGCAAGTTCTTAATCTAAACACATCAAACAATTCTCCAATATGGGACTGTCAAATGCTGATTTGAATATCCATGAAAAAGATCAATGGATCTGTCAAAGGGAAAAAAGGGAAAACTGAGTGGTCATTCGCAGTCCACCAAATTCTTACAATATTGTCTCAAACACTACTGCATCACCATATACCATTCGTAGACAGTATATCATACAGACATTCGTATATCAGTCTCGTGGACACTGTTACACTGAGAGGTTCAGTGTAGTCATGCTTTTAAAAAAATCTTTATTTTATTACAAACACTATTTTCAAATTATGTATAAGCCTGCGAGTCCCTGATTCCAGGCCTTTTACAATTAAAAAAGTTGAAACCCTCACTTATCCTGTCAAGTATGGACCAACCTTTGTACACATAAGCATCTTAGGAACCAGCATCACCTTCCTGTACAATCAGAAAGCCCCCAGAGGCCAGTCTGCTCTCTAAAACTGATGCCAATTTGTGTGAACTGTTTCTCTAAACAACATACAGGATATAGGCCTTCCATAGATACAAGCTCTGCTTGACTGACCCAAAAAACTAATCTTTACTTAAATATAAAAAATACAACACTCTGCCTTAATTTACTTCCAGTCTCTACTGTTCTTAGCAAATACTTTTTATAGTTCAGTCCTCAAACAGTAGAGTTGCTGATGCTTTGGATCTATAGGATGGTGGAACCTGCCTACAGTGTCTTTTTCCCTCCAGTGGATGTGAAAGATCTGAGTAACTTTTGTTGCCGACCCTGCTTCTGCTGTAGTAAGCTAGTCTTTCCACCTCTTAGCTTGCTATCTTGTAGCTTGGTTTGGGTATGTTCCACAGAGGTTTCTGCATAATTGTACCTCGCTTTCCAAAAGATGAGGTTTGGGATTTTGGCTTAGGAATGGTCTTCACCCATTTTCTTTTTCTGCCATCTGACCTAGTGAGCCATTTAAAGGCTGCAGTCTTTGTCAGCAACAGCCTTCCTATTTTTGGATAGATGCAGTGGTCACTACACAGTCCCTCAACCTGACCTACGGCACTACAAGCTGCATAGCTTTCCACACATAGGGGGTCACTAAGCAGGTGGCCTTAGCAAGCTGCCCTCTTTGTTTCCTGGACAATACTGGCTAAATGGTACTGGATGTTAATTGGCTATTTCACATTCCATATTGGTATAACTAGAATATCCCAACACAAAACAGTATGAAAAAACTCAGAGAATGAATGATAACACTGAAAAAGCTATATAGGGGGTGTCTGTCATTCAAAATCACTCTAAAGGATAAAGAAAATAAAGGTCTTAAAAATGGCAGCCTTTATTGTTTACTCTAGCAAATAATAAAAGGTGAATGAAACCCAGCTGTAGAGCATACAAATTGAAACCTAGTGAAAAATGATGCCAGGTCAAGAAACCACTCGTCAAAATATTGATGTCAATATATCTTTGACGGATAAGTGTTTTCTAGTGCTTTGAGAGCAAACAACAAAGGAAGACGTTTGCAAGGCCCCAAAGCAGCACTGAAGCTACATGTTGCATTGTGTGACTAGTGTTCAGTAGCACAGTCTGTGTATATTTTATAAGCAGCCTGAACTGCTTTGTGAGACAGTTGAGAGGGGGTGTAGACATGTCAGCGCAGCTTGTGTGAAGAGTCATGCCTATAGTGAAGTGCTGTAGTGGGTGTAGCTTAATAGACATCCATACAAGTCATGACTC